TTATTATTATTATTATTATTATATTATTATTATTATTATTACTATTTATAATTTATTGTGCATCTGCTGAACGATTTAGCACGATTCTCGTGCCTCTAATGTAATAAGTTGTTAAAAGAAGATTGTTCAGGAATTTATAGATTTTTAATAACAAAAAAAAAAATAAGTTACTTCATGTATAATAGTGATTCTTTACGTGTATATTCGTAAATTTCTTCCTTGATACACCAAGGATGAAAGACAATAGCTTAATGCGAGACTCATACGTGATTATTAATTTTATAATATTTATAAGATAAAATAAAAATAGAAGTGCCTAATTAGAAACGGTCAAATTTCTAAATAGAAATAATCGATCAAGCTCTTTTTACTTGATTACTATGAAATAATGAAATCTGTGAATTTCTGAGCTACTTTTATTCAATGCCATGTGCAAGTCTGTTGTCACGAAATTTTTACGTGTGGTATACAAACGTGTACATATTAGGATTGCATGTGTTCGTCTTGTGAAAAATGATGCATCCTATTCACTGTTATTTGTTCTTTAAATCATTGTTCGACTTTCAATTTAATGTGAGGAATTCTTAATTAAAAACGATCAATAACAGTAGTATATAGGCTGCATTATTTTATGGTTCCTTGGTCAGGATGATACTCATTATCATTCTTCGTATTTTGTTCTCTTTTTTTTTTTTTCTCTTTCTGTTTTGTTTCTGTATGACATTTACATGTATATGTATTTGTAGAGATGTACTTTTAAGCAGAAATTTTGTATTTTTTTCTGTGTGGAATCTGTATGTCTGTGAGAAAGAATAAATGGATCATAGTTGTACGAGAAACATGTATGTGAGAAAAAGAATGGATGATCTGACTGTGGTGACGAAACAAATGGAAACTATCAATAGAATATCAGAATAAGTACAGCGAAAATGTAACTATTTTATGAACAAACACATTCGATTAAAAATATAGTCTGGTCGTTTGAATTATATAATTGATCCTAACCTAATCAGATCACATTAAAGAGTTCCTATTTCCTATTGTTTACGATCAAGTTATTCTGCGTTCATGAATTGTCATTTGTATAGTTTATTTTTTCTTTTTAAAGTGGTACAAGTCCAGCTTTAAATTACTTGTAAATTAACTGTAATAACTTGTAAATCACTGCGTAAGTTTAATTATAGACTGATGTTTTTGTAATTTGATGATATATTATTACAGAAATATCAATATTTCCAAGAAATAATTAATAGAAAAATGTTTAAAAATAAATTACATAAATGCTTTTAAACCGAATGTTTATTAAACAAAAACGTTTGTAAATGGTAGCTTTGCTTTTTAAAAATTTTCAATGCAAGAAAGGACTTGTATCATTAAAGAAAACCAGTTCTTTTTCATAAAACTTACAATTAGTATAAAATAATAAGTTTATTTTTATCACAAAAGATGAATCTTTTAGTTACAAAACAAGACAAACTGAATTGATGAAAAAAATGAAAAATATAACAAACAAAAGCAAGTTGATAATTTTAAATTTTAAAATTGTTTTGCTAAATGTTTTGCAAGAAAGCTGGTGAATGTTGAATTTGGAATAAAGTTTGGCTTGTGTCCAATGTAATAAACCGAGATAAAAACTACGTAAATTCACGCGTTTTTAATCTTATTGTTATTGCTATGTAGGAACAAAGATAAAGTTTTTACTTTTGAACAAGACCGAAATTTTAAGAACTCGAATGCAAATTTCGAATTGAAATTTTTGTTGAATTTCTGTGTGTAGTATGTAAAATAATATATGAAAGAAAGTTATTCATTATGTAAGTACGTAATATATTTACAAAACTTTCTAAAATGTATCTAAATGACAATGTTGTAGAAATATATTTAAATATATTCTACGCCTAACCTAAATAGAGATAAAAAAAAACTATTTAAAATAAGATACGCAGCTTTTGCTGAAATAGAAGTTCCAAGTACCAACGACCTGCTACACATACATATGTACTTATATGTCATTTTATTGCCAAATTTCTGAGAATTGCAATTATAAAGTCTCTGTGTAATATTGTAATCATAACCACAATCAATACAAAGACTGCCACAAGTCAATAAGAGAAAATAACGAAAGGAAATTGATTAGGAAAATTGATAATGATAATACATTTTAATAATTTAAAAAGTAACAAGATAGATATAGATTTCTACGATTTAAAAAATTTAATATTGTAAATTATTTTTGGTTTTTCTTCAAGTTTTAATTTCATTTTTTTGAAATGTTAATTTTTGAAAAGCAAGCTGTTTCAAACGAATAAATTGTTTAAGAAATTCTTTAGGTGTTGTAGAAATTATAAATAATATTTGAAAAAAAAATCATTTAAATTTTATACACGTCTTGAACGTAATTACTACAATCAATGACACAAACGGATTTTCAAATTTGTCTCTTTGTTAAATTAACATTTGAGTATGAAACGAGCATAAGATAATGTTTCCTTTAATGATTTTCTATCTTTATTAAAATATTTCGACACTAAAAATGAAAATTAAAATATACAAATAGTAACTACTTAAAAAGCTAGTAAATACTTAAAAAGGTAATATAAAATAACACATAAACAGTTCAGTATATACTTTAAATCATTTTTTTATTTTTAATAGAGTAAGATATCCGATAGAAAACGGGGTTATATAAACAGCAGAATTATTTATGAATTTCTATAAAACTAGATACAAATGTTTCAAAGAGGGTATCAATTTTTATATCAATTCATTTTTAAAATTATACAATCAATCCCATTTGATTTGAAAACATCGAACAGTTCTAATTAATTGTTGATAATGATTATCAAATTTAAATATTCAAAAAAGTTTAAAAATGAATTATGTTAATAAACAAAGTGGACGGTAAAAAGAACAAATGCTCGTAGTTGAATACTTGGCATGATAGGCTCGTGCAAGTCGTCTAAAAATAGCAAGATTGCTTAGACTTTGAGAAGGTTTTTGCGCCGCGGTGCAGACCTCTGGCAAATCCCCATGAAGATCAGCGAGTTCACTTCAGTAATTAAATCAGAAAGATAATGTTCTCAGAAGAACCAAAAAGTAACAAGTTATCAAAGTAAATTTGAATCAAGAATAAATTATGCTCTATATAAAGTTCAAACATTGAATACAACAGCTGAATCGGTTTATATATATATGTTAAGCAAATAAATACCTAAATTTTAATTAAACATATTT